TAAATTAGACAATAAGATTTGCACACCACATTTATTAATATTTTAAGTATTGTTAATAAGTTGGATGTACTAAATCACCTGGGGTACAAACTGCATTCCTGCCATTTTCAGAAAAAGAAGTGGACAACATCTGGCCTTGATGTCAGCAGGGCCATAGCATCACATCTTTCAATCCCTTTCTCAACTGTTTAATTTGTGGCATGGTCCTCCGATGACCTACAAGAAGGCCAAACCCATATTACTGACCAAATATTAAAATTCTACAAAAGTCAGCACAGTAGAAAGTGTTTATAAAACTCTAATGCAGTGCTTAACAACCCTATAAAACCATTTGTATCATATTTGCTACGCAAGTTTCTGAGACCTCTGTCTTATCAACATGATCAAAACTTTCCTTTAAAACCTGTTGTATATGACCTGATACATGTATTCTGCCCCTAGAGGATTTGCACTCTACTGCAGGCAGTGGAAGGGCTTTTTTTGACCTTTAAAAAATGGCCACCATCATGCTAGCATCCACACACTTTCAGCAGGAAAATCTTTGCTAATTTTCAAGAAGTTACAGTAAGAATAACATTTATATTGTTACTCATTCTTTAATAGGAGTATATTCTGTATTAAAACAATGCATCATTACTTAATAATTCATTCTTCATATTACAGTTAAATCGTGTTAAAAATGTGTGTATCACATTTGATACTGCAGGTATATAAGGTGCTTTATCCTTGAACGGTCATTCTAAATTTTTGTAATGTAATCTACATCATGCCTACCAATATACAAACACACACTATTTTAATGATTTAATAAATCTAATTAATGACTGAAATGCCATTTTAAAATACATTTTGGGTATTTTCACAATAACAATTCCTCTGAAATCATAATCGCTACGCTATATTGACCAATTTGTTATGTGTGTATTTTTAGATGTCAAAAAGAATAGAGGAAGAAGTGAGAAAACAAACGTACATTGAAAATGTCATCAACATGATAATGGATGGCAATTCAAGTGACATAGAGCAGTTAGGGGAAGATGATGAGGAGGATGAGGAAGAATGGACTCCTCAGGCCATGCATGATGATGGAAGTTCAGATAGCAGTGATGAGGAAGACTATCAAGAGGAAAGTGTAGCCCAGACAAGCACAGACGTTGAGATCCCAACAACAACACAGGACACAATCAGAAAGGAGTCAGTGAAGGCCAATGCACAAAGGAAAGAATACAGATGGAGAAAAATAAATTCATCCATCTATCAATTTCATTGCAAGTGTTGAGGAAGGCACAGAAGACAGGTGTGACTGGACACCATACATGTATTTCAAACAGTTTGTCACTGATGAAATGCTAGAGGAAACTGCAGAACAAACAAACCTGTACAGTGTACAAAAAGAGGGCAAGTCAGTAAACACAACTGCCAAGGAAATAGAGCAGGTTCTAGGCATGTACATTCATATGGGGTTAGTACAGATGTCCTCTGTGAGAGCCTATTGGGAGATGGAGACAAGGCTCCCTGCAGTTTGTCATGTGATGTCTCGAGATCGGTTTCTGAAATTGCTGACAGTGATTCACTTTCAGGACAACCTCAGTGTGTCTGATGATGCAAAGAAAGATAAACTGTGGAAGCTCAGGCCATGGTTACAAAAACTGTGAGAACAGTTTCTCTACATACCTCCTGAAGAAAGCCATGCAGTTGATGAAATCATGGTGCCATTTAAGGGAAAATCTCATCTACGTGTCTACATGCCTGCAAAACCTCACAAATGGGGTTTCAAAATGTGGGGACGTGCTGGACAAAGTGGCTTTCTTTATGACTTTGATATTTGTCAAGGTGCAGAAAATCCAGACAGAGAAAAGTCTGAAGTAGGTGTTACAGGAGAAGTTGTGCTGAAAATGACATCAACACTTCCAGCAGGAAAAAATCACAAGGTCTTTGCAGACAACTACTTCACATCAGTTCCCCTGGTGCAACACCTAAAAGAAAGAGGAATCCACTACGTTGGCACGATCCGGATGAACAGGATGAAACACTGCACCATGATGGATGAAAAAGAATTGAAGAAAAATGGAAGAGGGTCAATGGACTTCAGAGTGAACCAGGAAAACAACATCGTTGTAAGATGGTACGACAACAAAGCAGTGAACCTGATTTCCTCTTTTGTTGGCACTGAACCTGTGGGAAATGTGAAACGCTGGGATCGCAAATCCAAAACTCACATAACGGTTCCCAGACCAGCCATTGTTGAAACATATAACAAGTTCATGGGAGGTGTTGATCTCCTTGATATGCTGTCTGCACTTTACAAGTTCAGCTTCAGATCCCGAAGATGGTACATGTACATCTGGTGGCACACTGTTACAGTGGCAGTCATCAATGCGTGGAACCTCTACAGAAGAGACCAGAAGAAGCTAAACCCCAAGAAGAAACCCGTGCCTCTGTGAAGGTTTCAGGCTTTGGTTGGCAGGAAAGGCCAAAATCAGGTGTGGCAGACCACTATCCTCTCCAGAAGAGACTCCAACACCACCCCGTAAAAGACCAAGCTGCAGTGTGCCTCTTGATGTGAGAAGGGATGGCATTGATCATTTTCCAACATGGGAAACCCGACAGAGATGCAATCACTTCTCACATGTCTACTGTGAGAAGTGTAAGGTGCATCTTTGCCTGAACAAGGACAGAAACTGTTTTTGTGCCTACCACAAAATGAAATAAAAAGGCTGTAAAAAGTGTTATGTTAAAAAAAACAACGAGAAAAGCTTCCTGAAATGTGTGCAAAAAATTGCCAAAAACGCCCGATGTATCAAATGTGCTACAAAAAAAATATCATAAACAACATGATATGAGAAAAACATTTTGGGGGATTTTGTTTAAGGGTTTAATAAACATCTCAATTCCAAAAGAATAGAATTTCCTGGTTATTTTTTCATGTGTCAGGCTTTACAGGGTTAAGATGTATTTTTCCCCAATTATATCCTTTCATACTGCAACACCAAACCACTCCCTGCCTAGATTACAAGTTAAAGAGTGTTTAGGTTCTGTAATAATCCTGCCTGCAGTTCCAATTAGTTTGTGATTGAAATACAGATGTGCAAAAGAAATGCAGACGTGATAGAATTGCTTAGCTTGAAACATAATTGATGGATAAATGGGGGATGAGTTCAATTTCAGAAGGAGAATTCACCAAATCAGCAGGAGAAACTCACCGCGTGTACTAGAAGTTTGTTATGTAGCCACCTCTGATTCGTTTTAGTGACTGCTGGGAGATCCCAAGACAGGGAAAGATCTGACACTGTGTCCTTCTGTTCCTGAGTAAGTTCTTCAAGTTCAAGCTACAGTTTGGATCATAAAAGGTATTACACCTGTCCAGGAATTTTGCAAGGCAAAGGTTTTTTTGTTTGTGTGTTACATACCATTGTTATAATACTCCTGATGTGCAGATCAGGACAGTCCTCGACAACAATTGTTGCCATTTCAGGGTCCCCATTGAACAGTACATGAATAACAGCAGGACTTAATCCGGTGACATGGGGGCCATCATGCAAAAAGGAGTGGGCTATCATCCTTCCTGCAACCCGGAAGAGGTTGCTCTCAATAAGCACCTCTGATGCAGCTGGAACGAGATGGTCAGGCTCACCTTCAAATAGCAGAGTTTGGCCCACTCCTCCTGTAAGTACCAACAGAGCAGGGCTTCAAATCAAACAATTAACTTTTAAAATGCATGACATTAACCTGAATAGTAGCACATTTACCAAGATTCATTCTGAATCCAAACTGGAGTTTGGATATTATTGTTGTCAGAAAGTACCGCATCACTCCCTGTCCAACAGCAGCATCACCTATAAAACTTTTTTTTTTTTAAAGAATACTGTATACTGTTAATAACACACTAGAAACAAGCTGTAACAAGGCTATAGGTGCTTGACAAGTTTTAGGAAGGAAGGACAAACACATGAACTGTTATGCAGACAGCATGAACAGCCAATGCAGATTATCATATAATGATTAATATCAGCCAAATGACCTGATGGGACCAGTAAACCACTAATACCATTCCATATAAGACATAGAATTGATATTAATGTAACAGGATATATTTATATTATGAACTCTATTCTACTAACCATCAAGGGTACAATGAAGTGGACATGCCCATTCCTGTTGCTGTTTATAGAATGAGAGAAGTGCCCGTTCCCTGTCCTCCTCACGCTCCCTTACATCCAGTTTCAGTTTAAGAGGCTTCCCGGTTGCATGTTCACTTAGTAGATTATCTTTGAAAACTTGGGCAGCCAGAGTTGGTTCTTTAATAATCTTCCAGTCTAGACAAGAAGAAAAATAAATGTAACTACTTTGCATGTTAAATGCAGATAAACTCCCAATCAACAGAAAAGGAGGAACACCTGAAAAATGTGACAGAATCCAACAGCCTTTTAATAGATACTAGGAAAGTCCATTTCTACTTGACTTTCATCAGAATGATGCTTATTTGCTGTTTGAAGTCAACCAAGCTTCACTTAGATGTGGAGTCTGTGAACTGTATGAGGAAGTGTTTCTAAGGTTCTATAAAACAGCAGTGATAATGGCATGTCTTCTAGTCGTTATTTATTATGGTTAAAAGGTGTTATTCTTCTATTGACTGAGTTCTAATCATGCACAATATTATAGCATTCCTACTGTGATGACACAAAGCATTGTCAAGTTCTTTAAGATCAATCTTCTCACTTTCAATCACTACTGGTTCTACTTCACTCTCTACAGATGTTTCAGGCCTCACTGGAACGCTGTCCCTGTCAGTGGGTGGCTCTCTATCATTCTCCTCACCACGGTCTCCCTCTCCTTCTCTATGTGTTTCCTGCATGGGGGTCCTTGAAGTTCAGAAAATGTTATAGTCATTTCCTCTCATCTGTGTGCACAAAAACTAAAAAGACATTTCTTATTGAAAAATGAATATGTAATTCTTATATATCTTTAACAAGTGCATAGCCATCCCAGTTAGCTCGGTGCAGTTTCATTTCAGAGAAGGGAACCTCCTTCTGGACCAGAGGCATGTCCCGAGCTTTCCTAAGAACAACAAATCTGTTAAGTATTGATTAAAACTCCACAGTGCAATTTATTTGAACTATGTATCAAATGGTGACAGTGTAAATTTCCATACTGAATCAATGGGTAGGTCCTGTTGAAGTGGGCGTATGTCAATTGTAGCCTGTCCAATTGTTGGAGATGGATCTTTTAGATAGGTAAGGGTGTATCCTGTGCTGGGACATTGAAGAAGTCCAAGATTTCGACTGCGAGTAGATCCTGCAATTTTTAGAAACTCAAAGCCTCCCCCTTCTTGCAGCTTTGGAAACACCTCCATCAGTTTGTTTGTTACAACCATGGGATCGTTGTCATTTCCTGTAAATATACATAATGCACATAACTCAAATACCAAAAGCTAAGCTGTGATAACAAATACACAGCAAGAAAATCACGTCATTAAAGTTTGAGTCTAATATGTAAAATAGGTGAACACAAATGGCGATAAAATGAAATTAAAAATACAACTCCTACTAATGTCAGGACTCAGTGCTTTGTCAAAGTTCTTGTTTCAGACGCACCTGAAAAGATCACCTTTGTTCTCCAAGTCCTGAAGCAAGAAGGTCTGCTTTAAGCTGAATGCTTGGAACTTTATCAGCCTTGTTGTTGTTGTTGTTGTTGTTGTTGTTGTTGTTGTTGTTGTTGTATGGAGCAAACAGCCTTGCTACTTCGGCTGCAACACAGAGAAAATGTTACAGCTCCCATGATCGCCACTCAGCTAAAACATCCTTAAGTCCTGATAAATGTAATAAAGAAAGCAAACAACAACTAAAAAGAAAGAAGTGATAAAAGTCCAACTTCAGGGCTGCTGACATGCTAACACCATTCTGCCGACTAGCTAGCTTCGTTTAGAAGCACATCTGGCTATCCTTACCTACCTTGAACAGGTGTACGTGGTGTAGCGACAGGTATCTGCTGTACCTGTGCTCCGGAGAGCTTTTGGACATCCTGCACTAACACTTTGCACCAATGGTGAGCTGAAAGTCTTCACTTGTATCATCAGCAACTATTTTTTCGGCGACAAATGAAGAGCGTACCGAAACGAATATACGGATGAACACTGTCACCTAACGTATCGGAGTGCATTCACTGCTTCAATCCATTATCTGGGATCGATCTGTCATGACTTGCTTTGCTGAGTAACCAATCAGATGTTAGAAACTTTGACGAGCAGCAGTGACAGATGAAATGATTTCATGATGCACTGCTGGTGTAGGGACCATGAAATGATAAAGTAAATAGTGAAATAATTAAATAAATAGTAAAATAATTAAATGTGGTTTTACATTAAATGAATTAACATTTTAAATAATTAATGACACATTAATTAATGATGTGTTTCATAAATTATTTATGTATTACCAATTTTAAATAATTAATGACACATTTAAATGATTATTTAATTATTTAATAACACATGCATTTAATTAATTAAATAATTATATATTTATTTATATATTTGTTGATTTATTTCCAATATTAAATAATTGATGACACATTTAATGATTTAATTAATTATATATTTATATATTTCATTTTGGCACTTTTAGTCCTCCATAGGTGAGCGTCCAACTTCCCTGAATGTTAAACTGTAGTTGCCTTCTATCTTTGGTTTCCCGTCCGGTTAATGAAGTCTGCTTTACTTGTTTAATCGGTGGAATATGCGCACAGACATATCAGCACTTGTTCTGTTTAAACATCAGCAGGTCACTCACTGATAAGTCCCTGTCACTGTAATAACACCCTTTGTAATCTGCAGCGGCATTTCTCTTCGTCCCGCCCCGTCTTGTATCTCCATACAGCCGATATTATACCATAAATGATATACTATATTACTATATAGGCTACAGCATATGCTATATAGCCTATAGACAGTTTATGGGCCCACTATTGGTCCCCCCCCCTCTGCAATGACCCACAGGCTCCGCGCCTGGTTTTAACGTTTACTTTATTGGGAGATTATAACTCAAAATGCTCCCGAACAGGAGACGTTTTCCTCTTTCTCACAGGCTCCATTTCTCCAAAAAAAGAGAACCAAAACTACAACTCCCAACAACCAACTAACGCAAACTCACGAGGAGACATGACAAGTGGGTTTCACTTCCTCTTATCCAAAACCGAAACACAAACAGATCAATGACGTAGACTCGAAGTGAGGAAAGAAAGAAATGTGCCTCCTACTCGACACACGCTTCAAAGCCTCGGTGTCAAACGTAACATTACTAATCTGGACTTTTACCTGAAACTGAATCCACAAACCGGATAAGAGGTAAAAAAAAAGAACAAAGAATACAGATTAAAGGAACTTTGAGTGACAGGGAGTGACTCCCAGCTGTTCGTCTCCTCGTCTTCAGTTTGAGATAAAATGGCGTCCAAGTTAGAGGAAGATCTGAGCTGTCCGGTCTGCCTCAACATCTTTAAAGATCCAGTCATCCTGTCCTGCTGTCACAGCTTCTGTAGAGAGTGTGTGAAGGACTGCTGGAAGGAGAAGGAGAACAAGGAGTGTCCGGTTTGTAAGAGGAGACAGTCAAAGGATTTATTACCTCCTAACTTTACTTTAAAGAACCTGTGTGAGAGTTTTGTGCAGGAGAGAGATCAGAGAGCTTCAGAGGATCTCTGCAGTCTGCACTCTGAGAAACTCAAACTCTTCTGTCTGGACCATCAGGAGCCGGTGTGTGTCGTCTGCAGAGATTCAGAAAAACACAGCAAACACAGATTCAGACCCATCGATGAAGCTGCTGGACAACACAAGAAGAAACTTCAGGAAACTCTGGAGCCGGTAAAGAAGAAGTTAAATGTTTTTAAAGAAGTTAAAGTGAAGTTTGATCAAACAGCAGAACACATTCAGGTCCAGGCCCGACACACAGAGAGGCAGATTAAGGAGCAGTTTAAGAAGCTTCACCAGTTTCTAGAAGAGGAAGAGGAGGCCAGGCTGTGTGCACTGAGGGAGGAAGAGGAGCAGAAGAGTCAGAGGATGAAGGAGGAGATGGAGGCTCTGAGCAGAGAGATAGCAGCTCTTTCACACACAGTCAGAGACACAGAGGACGAGCTGAGAGCTGAAGACGTCTCATTCCTGAAAAACTACAAGGCTGCAGTGGAAAGAGTCCAGCAGCGCCCCCTGCTGGAGGATCCACAGCTGCCCTCAGGAGCTCTGATAGACCAGGCCAAACACCTGGGCAACCTGAGCTTCAACATCTGGAACAAGATGAAGGACATGGTCTCCTACAGTCCGGTCATTCTGGACCCAAACACTGCTCATCCAGTCTTCATCCTGTCTGAAGATCTGACCTGTGTGACACGAGGAGAGAGACAGCAGCTTCCTGATAATCCAGAGAGGTTTGATCATTACGGCTCTGTCCTGGGCTCTGAGGGCTTTAACTCAGGGACTCACAGCTGGGACGTCCAGGTTGGAGACAATACATTCTGGAACCTGGGTGTGTTAGCAGAGTCTGGACAGAGGAAGGGAGAAAAGTCTGGATTATGGTCAATATGGTTCAGATGGTAAATACAGAGCACACCCCACCACATCCACACTGATCTCTCAGTGAAGAAGAAGCTTCAGAGGATCAGAGTGAATCTGGACTGTAACAGAGGAGAGCTGTCCTTCTCTGATCCTGATACTAACACACACATACACACCTTCACACACACTTTCACTGAGAGGATGTTTCCATACATTACACTTGATAAACTCC